CGCAAGATACGCTAGTTGAGCACTAGTGATTTTTCGTATGATAACATCACTCCAGAATAATTCAATATTTGTTGCCTGCTCTCTGGAAATAAGAAAGCAGAAAAGATGGTGAATTAAAAACAGAAAACTACATCATATTAATATTTGGCAATATATAATAATTATTCTCTATAATATATTTCAAACGTAATAAAAGGTTTAGAAGATTGATTTGGATACACTAATTTATTAAAACGGTAACTGGTTCATATACTGTAAAATCAGATATTTTCACTGATATTAATTTCACTATTTTGAGCAATTTCCCTTTGTTTCAAGTTCAAGAACTTAGCGGGGAAACAATGAGTTGTATTGTTATTTCTATTGTCACGTGCATTTAATTTAGCAGAGTTCATTTATCAACGAAAATAGCGAGATTCAGTAATATATGACATGTATGTTTTTGCTAACTAATGCGTTTTGTGAATTGAGACAACGGAAACCGGGAATGTTGAACTTGACACTAGACACATCACCGAATTGAGAAATGACTTAAACAAGTATAATATATACTTAGGGACGACGTCAAAAGATCGATGTCGGATAAAAAACTTATTTCCTTTAGTTTGGGGGTGGGGGGTTTTGACCTCAAAAAGTTTCCATCCTACAAAAACGATTTTATTTTTTAATGAAGTCAAAAAAATCTTGGAGTATTTGTAGTTCTTTTTTTTTTCTAACCAATCATGGACAGAAATAACCGAAAAGGGAAAAAAACAGAAAAATGGTTTGGTTCGAGTGTAAATCTGTGCGTCAACTTCAAATGAGGTGCATTTGTAAAATCTTTTTACACCCACCCAACAACCAACTGCTATGCAATACTACTGTTCGATTATCAATTTGTATTGAATGGTGAATTTAGTCTGACGCCATGACCAATATTTATCAATTAAGTTTCAGTGGGGGGTAGGGGGGTTTGGAAAAAACTAAAGGAATTAAGTTTTTTATCCTACATCGATCTTTTGACGTCGTCCCTTACAGTGTTACCCTGAGATCCATAGAATCAGTTGACGGAGCATAACACAAAGAGAAGTTTTCTGTAAAATTATAACATAATTATCATATGTCATTATAGTCTTACACTTATATAGTTATCATAGTCTTCACACACAACATTCGCGAAATGTCACGAATAACATATCGTTATGTATATTCTTATTTTAATTACATAGTTATAGTTCTTGTTGGTTCGGTACAACGCGCTTGTTTTATCGTTACTATATACTAGTAAATACGAATTGCAAACTTAAACAATTTGTCAAATATAACGTAGGTATCAATATGCTGTGATGTCGTACGAATAATTAATATATTCGTTCACGTACATGGTATTAAACCTGTGGCTCCTCGTGTACAGTTAAATGGAAAAAGACTTACCAGCCATTTCGTAACCGTCGCCTTTTGCAGAATAGTATATCTAAATTTACTGGGGAACTGTGAAGTAGATGCTTAACCTTTGCTCTGCAGCGTGGATTGAAATGTGACTAGAACTTCGATTATATTTAGACAAAACAGCATTCGAATCGTTCGAAAGTTTGACGCGTCATTGTTTCTTGGATACGTCACGAGAGGGCGCACACGCTCATTCAGTGCGATTCCTAGAAGTGGGCAGAGTAACGGACAGAGTATCAGTCAGGGTCAGATTAGATTCGGAGCTCTTCTAAAAATGTTTTAGGGGTCGACTATTTGAATACATAGAGTGGTCGAAAGGTTTTCTTAAAAATTTGCAAGCTATACACTTGTTGGCTCATTCAAGAAAATGTAAATGCACCCACCCTCTTCCAGCCACCCCGTGACTTTGCAGTACTTTGCCACTACTTTTCAGTACTTTGCCACTACTTTGCCGTACTTTGCCACTACTTTTCAGTACTTTGCCTCTACTTTTCAGTACTTTGCCACTACTTTGCCACTACTTGCAGTACTTTACCGTATTTTGCCACTACTTTAAAGTACTTTGCCACTACGTTTCAGTACTTTGCCACTACTTTGCAGTACTTTGCCACTACTTTACAGTACTTTGCAGTACTTTGCCACTACGTTTCAGTACTTTGCCACTACTTTGCAGTACTTTGCCACTACTTTTCAGTACTTTGCCACTACTTTGCAGTACTTTGCCACTACTTTGCCACTACTTTGCAGTACTTTGCCACTATTTTGCAGTACTTTGCCACGACTTTTCCATACTTTGCCACTACTTTGCAGTACTTTGCCACTACTTTTCAGTACTTTGCCACTACTTTTCAGTACTTTGCCACTACTTTGCAGTACTTTGCCACTACTTTGCTGTACTTTGCCACTACTTTTCAGTACTTTGCCACTACTTTTCATACTTTGCCACTACTTTGCAGTACTTTGCACTACTTTGCAGTACTTTGCCACTACTTTGCTGTATTTTGCAACTACTTTGCAGTATTTTGCCACTACTTTGCAGTACTTTGCCACTACTTTGCAGTCCATTTGCTCCTTTATAACAATTAAAATGTGGTGTCCACATTTAATTGTATTAACAATAGTAACCGATTGTAGGCGGTTACTGAGAATTTACTGAGTTGTTAAAGAGTATTAAAAGCAATCC